TTGATCATGGGGGTGGATAAAGGGCCATGGGAGCAAAGAGGGAGTGCTGGAATCAATCCCATAAACATTTTTAGACATGTTAATAACACGCAAGCCTCCCTAACTGTAAGGGAGAATGCATGAAAAGAGGTTTCGGCAAAGGCCCCACTTCCCTGACTCTGTTCTTTTTTCCTGTCTCTTATCATTCATTGATTCATAAACTATTAATTATCAGGCACTGTGATAGTGTTTGGAGGTACCAAGGATAAATGAGTCAGCAATTCCATTACTGAGGGGAAAAAAAAAAACCCAAAAACATTAAAATAGTCAAAGCACAACGTATATAATATACTACACTGAAATTTATTTAAGGCATAAACAAACTATTTTACTCATCTTGCATTCTTATCACAATGCCTAGCCCATATAACAGCTCAGTACACTTTCTGAATAAATGTTTTCTTGTCCATTATTTCTTCTGGCTTGCTTCAAATTCTCTTATGTTCATGTGTATGTTGAGCCCACTGTATCAGGTCTGAATACAACTGTAGCATGCAATACCTAAGTTCCCTTGGACTTAATATGCAAACCTATATTGATATAAACTACCGGCCCTGGATACACTAAAATCAACCACTAGGCTTATTTTATGCTTTTTCAGAAACAGAAAATATAGTAAACATATCACTTGAGAATCAAGTATATTCATCAACTGGGATTGAATGCAGGTACAATGTTTGGCTAACTTAATCCATTTATAGCACTTCATAATCCAGAAGCAAGCCTGCCCTCTAGTGCTAAATCTGTCAAATTGAATAGCAATTTTTATCTATTTTCTTCTACCAGGAAAAAAAAAGGAGCTAGCACTCAAGATACATTCTTAAAAAGTAAAATTGTATTATTTCAAAACAAAAAGTTTCATTCCAAGAATAAAACAGCATTTAGTTTAATTCACCATTTGTTGATAATGGTAACTATTATCAATCTTATTAAATTTCAGTGCTTCTTGAGCAGTATAGAAAATAACATCAGTTTGTTGTGGTGGGAAATGTTGTTACATTTCCACTTAAGAAACCACAAAAGTCAGCCCGAAATTTACTCATCATGTCTTTATTCTCTGACTACACTTAAATCCCTAGGTGATTTCATCCATATCCTGGCTTAAAATAGTTTATACACTGATGACTTCCAAGTATCTATCTCCAGCCCAGACTTCTCTCTTGAACTCCAGATTCAAATACTCAACAGCTAATTCTACATTTTCCTTTGGATATCTAACATGCTTGTCTATCACAGCATGTCCAAAATTAAACTCATGATCTCCCCTCAAACCTGTTCCTGCAAGTCTTTTCCATCTTAGTAAATGCTGACTTCATTCTTGGAGCTCTTCAGGTCAAAAACCTTTGAGTCATAGATGATTCTTCTCTCATACCCCACATCCAATCTATCAGTGTATTCCTATTGGCTCTAACATCCAAATATATTCAGAATCTGACCACTTTTTACTACTTCCATTGCTCTTTGCCTCACCCAGGCCACCACCATTTCTCATCTGGATCACTAAAATACTCTCCTATCTAATACTACCCACACCACACTTCCATCCTTGCACTGATAGAAACACTATAATTACTTCAAACCTTACTCAATGCCCTACATGAACAGGCACCATCACTGTTTCCAATCTCTCTACCCTTTCACTCTCCTCTTGCTGACCCCAGCCACTCTGTTCTCCTTGCTGTTCCTTGAAAATACCAAGCACACTATCAGCTCAGGACCTTAGCATGTAATATTCTGTCCGGAATGCTCTTCTCTTCGATTTGCATATGGCTCAATTCTTCACCTCCTTCAGGTCTCTGCTCAATGTCACTTTATCAGTGACCACTCCAATAGTGGTCCTATACTCCCCCAAGCCCTTTCCTTATTTTCCCTCAATAACCTAGTCACTATATGACAAAAACTATTTACCAATTAAAATAAACCCAATAAAGGCCAGAGGTATTTGCTTATCCTGTGCTTTGCTATAGATTCTGTCCTAGAACACTGTCTGTCACAGATTAGATGCTTGGGATTTACTGAATGATTTAGTCTAAGAGGAGTAAGGATGAATTTGATTGTAAAAACAAATGGAAGAATAAACCAGAAAATTGCAGCTATTTGTGCTTATGTAGGATAGTAAAATTTGTTGGGAAAAAAAATGAACAATTTTAACTAATTGGTTTTTGTTCAAATATCAAGGTGTACTCATTAACATTTGTTAAAAGCTACAGATGAGGTCCTATTTGAACTTCATAACAGGTATTATCATTACCTCTCTTTTAAAGAAGAGGAAACCGAAGGTGATAGAGGTCAAGATAGAGGTCAAGTGATTTGTCTAAAACTGACCCAACTAGGATGAGGCAAAGAGGAAACCAAACTCAGGTTTCTCTAATATTACTTCTATAAACTCCTTCTCAATATTCAAAGTAGTTTCAGGGAATGATATAAATCCAAAAGAAATGAGGTTTCTACATTTGTAGATAAAACTAACTTTGTAAGAACTAGCTATAAGCCATTTCATTTGCATGATAGGCTAGTGTAAGTACTCTAAACTTAGTTTACTTTGATTCAAAACTCACAAATATTAATTTTGCTAAATTTGGTGAGGTACTAAAACTAGGTCTCAAATGACAAGGTGTTCTAATACTCCATTGTCTTTCATGGTTCAAATGCAATTGGTAGCAATAAAATGAAAGTAAATTTTCTTTTCACCTTCAAAATATGAAGGGCATTTATCCGCAATCTATTTTCTACATGGAAAAATAAAGGTAATATTCGGTTCTACACACCCACACACCATACAGTTCTGGGAAAATATGGCTTTATACAGATCTATTTCACTTATTTTTTATTAGCGTTTTTTTCAAATAATTAGCATGGTATTTGAATATTTCAAAATAACCAAAATTTTAACTTACATCTTAAAACTAATCCATGAAATATGGAACAATTTTCATTAATACTTTAAAGCCAAGAAAGCCAAAAAGCATAAAGATAAAACTTCAAAATGATACAATTTTGGGAAAAGCTATGAACTTTTTAATAAAACTATTTTGCTGTAACTCTTCCATTTACGGAGCATAGACCCATAAATAAATAAATACAACAAACTCCAATAATTTTGCCATTGCAAGACAAGATTAAAACTCAGGGCAAAGTCTGACCTTATTAGGGTATTACCGGATATTATATTTTAAACAATATTTAAGACGTGTTTTGAGTCGGAATCGACTTCGACAGAAATGGGTTTGGTGTCGGGTTAGGCCAGAACCCATGAAAAAATGAGCCATAGTTTAAAAGGTTCTATCACATTACAAACAGCAAAATATCTCACCCATCCTACAAAGAAAATAGTTGCACCACTGGTCTAGGAAAAGCGTATCGAAAGCATTGTACTTACAGGATACAAAAAAATATTAAGATGGGCACAGCAAATTTACAACCAGTTCTATTAAGACTAGTGCTTGGGAAAAGCTAAATAAGTCTTTTTAAAAGATCTAAAGATTTGCTCCAGTGAAGTAGAACTAGTAAAATCTCTACAATATTAGTGATAATTCACCTAAGGGTTGGGGCAGAAATTCATCTTTCCACTATTTATAGAAGTTTATCATAAAAGAGCACATTTTGGGCTTCCACAGTACTCATAGGTAGCTAGGTCTATTGGCAAAAAAGGACTGAGTCTCAAGCATTTGTTAAAGTAATCTGTTAGTTTCTGTTAGTATGGTTGTTAACAAATGTTCATGAAAGTAATAAAACATTCATTAAAAAATTATATGACCCAGAATATTTAATAATTCAGACCAGCCTTTTGCATCAAGAGAAACAATCCCTTCTTTGAAATGTTTTCTTGTGATGATTTCCAGTATCTCTCAAGAAGTGACACTTCAAGAAGAGAGAATTATTCTTTAGAAATAAAAACGGTTATTCTGCCTTTTCTCTTAATTTAACAGAGAAATGCATTTAAATTATGTATTAAAAATTCCCCCAAATTATTTGATGCTTTAGACATTGGTGGTATAGTGTTTAAGAGCTATGGCTGCTACCCAAAAGGTCGGCAGTTTGCATCCACCAGGCGCTCCTTGGAAACTCTATGGGGCAGTTCTACTCTGTCCTACAGGGTTGCTATGAGTCAGAATTGACTCAATGACAAGGGGTTTGGGTTTGGAACGGGTTTAGACATTTAGGAAGCATATGAGAGTTGTGCTACAAAACTTCAGGCTACAGGAGTCTAGAAAGACAGAATAAAACTTTTATCAGACTAACGAATTATAATAGTTTTAAGTACACTTCTTCAAGAAGGCATTAAAACAAATTGTCAGCATTCTCACTACTTGCGCCTCAAACTGAGCACACAATATATTTCAATAAATCCTTTCATAATTTCACATTAAAATTAGGCAGAAGGACATGTTTTCAAGAAATACTTAATTCAACATGAAACGTTTCATGAGCAATATACTTTGTGTTCTGATTACGAGCTACTCCATAACCTTTGTACTCCTTAAATCTCTACTTATTTTTATAGTCCGCTCCCCCAAGTGATGTTATTAAATATTGTTAAGACAAATTTGTGGTGTACTAGATGAAAAGGCATTTGTATCCTCAGGGTCAGTCTAACATCCCCATAAAAGGTCCTCAAATTCCAGTTTAAGACACATTAATCTAGAGTATTTCAAGCAGGGTAAAAGTCAAATCAACAAAACTTATATGTTATACGTAAAAATACTATTACTTTCAAAAACACATTATGTCAAGAATTTTATCGGCAACATTTAACAACATAAGAAATCATTAGACAATAAAAGATAGGCATGGTTAACTAAGATACAGATCGGAAGACAATACACCATTTTTTAATCACACTATGTTAACTGAATCTATGCTAATTTCTTAAAGATACCATGCTTTGTTAAAAATTATTTGTCCCATGGGAGTAGAGGGGAGGGGAGTGGGGGGGGGGGGCAACCTGTCTATCCTCCCATAGTTGAGAATCAGTAACTGGCTCTACTTTCTTCCAGTAGTAGTATACTTGTATGCTATTCTATAACAAACAAGTCATTTCCATGCTATAAAGCACCAGAGTATTTCATCCTGTACAAAGGAAATTCCAAAATCTTTAGAACAGGACTCCTGGGAAGGCACTTAAAGCTAGCTAGTCAAGAGGAGCCGCAACAGTTAAGAGACTTCTTTTTTATACTGCAGGCTCCTTAATACTGTCCTCTTTGCTTATACTACTTAACTCTTGACCATAACAGTTGCCCAGTACATAAATTAAAGGCTGTTCAAATATAAATTAAGAAAGACACACAGAGACACAGCCCACATCCACCTGACAAATGAGGGAGAATAAATTTGCCTCCAAACCAGGTGAATGTTATGATACTAAGGAGGTAAGAGAAACAGATAGAAATAAGAGAGTAGAGGAAGCGTGGACTGGGAGTTTCCCACTCAAAAGCTTAAAGGAATCTTTAGATAAGTAAGCAAAGTAAATATTTTCATTTATTTTATTTTTGTAAAGGTTATTTACAAGTTTTCAGTAGACACCCTGGGTTAACGTGCATTCAGCGCTCATCGTTAACCCAGGGTCTACAAAGAAGGCGCCTGGGAAGAAAGGACTGGTGATCTACTTCCGAAAAACCAACAATCGAAAACCCTATGAAGCACAGTTCTATTCTGACACACATGGGGTTGCCATGAGTCAGAATCAATTCAGTGGCAACTGGTATATTGGTATTTTAATCAAATAACAAAGATGACAAAGATTACAACTATGTTCAAACTATAAATCGACACTTGGCAAGATTTCACTTAAATTATATGTTTTGTAATTAAACAAAAATGACACTATTCTTCAATTTTTTCCGTGGAGAGAAGATTCAAAGGTCTAAAAATTTCAATGTTTTCAAACAATATATCTGATATTAAAACATCAGTCATGATGCTACTCGTAATACTGTTGGTATGCTCAGTTCTAATAATTCAGTGATTCTACTACTTAATAGAAACATTCCAGGAAAATTTTATCTATAAGACATACAGGAAAAAATTTCTTTTCCACTATTATGTCAGTGTTTTACAAAGCTGTACAAAGTAATTCCACTAAGAAGGTAATTAAAACATTGGCAATCATTTTCTCCCAGCTCATTAACCAGAAAATAAACAATAAAAAACTTTAAAATGCATTATCTCTTATGGAATCAATACCAAAACTCACTCATTAAACAAATTCGCCATCAAAAATTAATTCTTACACTAAGAACGACAGATTTTCCTTATTATGGAAAAATAATCTATTTACTTTTCTCCACTCATACAATGAAACCTGGAATATTACTGAGGTTGTGGCTGGACTGTGAATGTGAACAAAGCGTTCGTATCACTGGGATATTGGATGGTTTAAAAAGGAATGTACAAACAGCCTTGTTGCTAATCCAGAAAGAATTAGAAAAAGCTGCCCTTTCCTAAAGACACTTATTGCCATCAGGCAGAAAACTGTGATGATTAATACTGTGATTACTACACCAAAGTAAACGGCATCCTTGAGTTGTACACAATTACATCCAGAATGCTCTCACAATTCCTTATTAAGATCACCTTCTTTTACTAAATACATCCTAACTAAATCCACAAGATCAGAGTTAAGGTTATCTTTAAGGGGGGAAAAAAAAGTCCTCTTGATAGAACTCCCTAAATCACAAAATGACAGTTAAAAAAAAAAGATCATTAGTATGCCACTCACAACAACAATAATGACGATGATTCAAGTTCAATATGGGCCCTATTCTCTCGAGGCTGAATGATTTTGAGACCATTAATAACCTTGCCCTCTCAAATAAAAATGGAACTTTCTAACTGACGGAAACACAGAAAACTTAAAATTCACATTAAGAACATACATTTGCAATGCTGATTTAAGCTTATTGACAATACCATTTAATGGTAAGAAAACAAACAAACAAAAAATAACTGGACATAATCTTTCCAATTTCAGATAAGACAACTATATGTGCATATGACCTCAGCAGCTTTTACAGAAACTTCAAGCTGAAAGTTGGAACACTTCCAATATCCAGAAAAACTTTCGATTAGCTGCATCAGAAAATCACTATTCCAGGAGTCAAGGCCAATAATTATTCTTCCTAACTGTGCAGAGATGAAGGTAACGAGCCATACCACCAGCAAACTACATTGCCAAATGTTAAGAGTATTTAAAATCTTAAAAGTTCCACAAATTCATGATGAGTTAGAACCTCAAAAATTCAATAATTCAAATTTACAAAAATAAATACCACTCTGACACTCAAGGGACATCTTCACTTTAAGGCCTTTGTCACAAATCTGAATCTTTATTGTTCTGAAATAAATGATATAACTCAAAACAAAACTTCAATATTCAGTCTCAGAAGAGGTGTGGCTCAATGCCCATCACATGTAACAAGAAAACTTCCTTTAAAAAAAAGGATAAAAAGTACTATGAGAAGTCTTTCATATGAATGAAAATGCACCCTCTGGATTTTTTCCCCTCATCTCGTTAGTTTGTATACATCTGGGAATCAAAAGGTTTGCATTTTCTTCACAACAGCTCTTGCTATGATGCTTGACGGACTTTTTGCCACTCAACAAATTCATCGAGAAGAACAGGCCCTAGAAATAAAGAAATATTTTTTGTTATATTTCAATGAACTCATCTCTCCAACTACAAACCAAACTCTCCACGAGCTCTGCAATGACAGAGACTGACCCTGCCCTTCTTCAGGTATTCGGCTTAACAGTGTTTTCTTAGCCTTTTCTTTCGGCCCTTAAAGACATATGGGACTTTCCATAATGGATGTTTGTAATAACTTTGTTCTCAAGGTGTGTTTGATGAACCCTCCAATAACTGAGCCAACAACTGCCCTTTCCCTTTTTCTAACTGTCCATAGTATTCTGCCATTTAATTATAACATTCTAAAAAGTGTTTAAAGGTCATATTCTTTGTCACCTCCCTAAGAAGTGTGTAAGCTTGTTGAGGAGGACTGGCTATATCAGACTTATTTTGATCCAGTAACTGGGCCTAGTACAAAACTGAACACAAAGCAAGTGCCTAATGAATACGTGATAATAAAGTAAGAACTATTCTAAAAAATATATTTGTATAATGCAGGGGTCCAAACCCATATACCTACAGAAGCCAGACAGGTAATTTAAATGAGCCCAGTGTTTATTTTTTTTAAATGTAGGAAAGTTCATTGCCACAAAGAAATATGCTTGACCTATGTTTCTTGAAGCACACTCTGGTGTCTCTCTTGCTTTTGACAGACATACTTCTCTACTGTAAGAAAAACAGCAGAGCAAGCACAATAACAGATGGCAACGGACAAGAGCCCAGGCGTTAGCATCCTGCAGATCAGCAAACTGTAAAATAAGTCCAATGTAAGGCGACAGCCACTACTTGATTCCAGCCTCTGATTCCTATGAAGGAATAAAGGTGCAGTTTTGTCACATTTTTTCAAACAAAGCTGGAAGATGTATTTTTATACAAAATCTCCACTTTCAAATGTTGGCTCAAAACTTACGAACACACATCTTGCAGGCCGTATATGGCCCTTGGACTGCCAGTTTATGGCTGCAAAGTATTATTTCTTTAAAATGTTACTAAATTTTATACCATCTTGTAGGGGCAGGGCAGAAAATATTCGTGCAGAAATCAAGTTATTCCTCCTTCAGTATTTTATTTCTTCGATGTCACAGAAATAAATCCATAATTTCAGTGTACATTTACAGGAACATACGTTTTTGCCATTCTGAACATTAAAGTAACACATGGTAGTGGGAACTAAAGCAATTTATAGTTGTAGAGAATTAATATGGCATACCTAATTCTTTCATTATTGCTTCCAAGATCTGTTTTACAGCATTCTAGCTTTTTCACTGAAGCATAAGGACAGATACTTTAATTTGAAGGACTGAAAATATTTCACTGTTTACTCAGAACCATTTTATAACTTTCAGAGAGAAGTTATTTTGGCAGTATCTGCTACACTGTGAAAGGGTACTAACTACTATATTAACTAAAACTTTTTCTACTGTGTTGTGCTTTTATATTTCCAAAATCACAACTGTGGTTTTCTTCCATAGAAAAATGCCAGAAAAGGAAGGAGCAAAGCAGGATTTTAGCTTCTAGATGCAGAAATTATAATGTAGTGTTCAGCTGCGATGCTTGGTTACCAAGGAATTGAAAACACTTCATTTACCAACAGAGATTTTATAATATTAGTCTAAGCTCTCTCTTTACCACTCTCTCCTATATTATTAAAATAATGGAAGTTACTGTTAGGAAGTTTAAAATGTTTATGCTAATGCTACACAAATACATACTCTCATTTAACATTTTTAGGAATTTTATTTTCATAGAAAAACATTACACTATACTTACAAGCACCATCTTCATCATAGTTACTAAGATCTGCATGGACCGTTCTGCTGAATTCTAACACATTGTACCACTGATCTTTGTTCATAACACGATACTTTGATTGCTATGGAAAATGACAAAATATGTGGTTTATAAAAAGACATTATATTAGGCCTTGATTTCAATAAATCTATCTGTAACGTTTTTTGGGGTCATTCAGTCTTTCCTAAAACATTTATTCCTCTTTTAATTATTTGTGTGTGCTTTTAAGAACATTCTCAGGGTATTTACAAGTCAATATTATCCAATTCACTTTTTCCTTTTTCTTTCATTTTTGAGGAATAAAAAGTACATCAAAGGTATTCATCTTAAGGGTAAAGCTCATTGTATCTTTACATTATGTATTTAACTGTGTAACCACCAAGATCAACATACAGAATATTACCCACACTCAGAAAGTTCCCTTGTGCTGCTTCCCAGTAATTCATTTCTTTGCATGAGATTTATTGTTTTTGAAGTTGGCATCTTTGGAGGTAGTGGAAATACTATATAAGCTTGGGTTCAAATCCCAGCTCTGCCACTTGCTTGAGTGACCTTCAGAAAGTTATTTTAACTAAGAGAATTCATTTGCTAAATGGGAATAAAATTTAACTCAAAATGGTGTCATAAAGATGGGAAAAAAAAAAAAGTATGTCAAGCACCTTGCACATAACAAGTGTTTAAAAAACATTTAATTCACTTTCCCTCAACTCTCCTTAGAGGGGAATATTCTTTCAATTAGTTAAATTTTCTTTTGCCCAGAACTACTAATAGGAGGAGAAAAAATACCATCCATCAAAAGTATCTACTTTATTGGACTTATTATAAGGGTGCATAAAACTCATTCGTATTAGGTTGTTTTCAATACCATTATCTCTTATCACAAGCTTTACACAAACCACCCTGGGAAAACTGCTATGATGAACAACCAGCTTTATGAGAAATTGTTTTCAAAGCAAAAAGCATCTGTATTCAAAAAATGGTGAGAACTATGTACAAAAAACGAAAAGGCACAAAAACAGAAAATTAGACAAAGCAAGCAATGGAAAAAAAGACAGCATTTTCTTAGAACCACTGCCTATAACAGGTGCTATAATAAACCTTCTAAAAGAAAAGCTGCTTCTTAAAGTCAGCATACGTACCTTTTTAAGTAATCAGTACATTTAAGTTTACTATTATAGACGGTTCTCCTATTTGTGGGCAAAAAATAATAAAAGTTTTATTCTATTGCTTTAGGTTGAGCCTAAGTAAAAAAGCAAAGTTTTATTACTACAATTGGTTCTCTTAGGTAGATTTCAGCTTAAAACCCTGTGTAACAGAAATAAATCAGATTTAGAAGTACAACATTTGTGCAGCAGTTATCAATTCTCTCTTGCCAAAATCCTGAGAAACTTAATTTTGCATGAAGAATGTCTGCACTAAAATGTATAATTTTGTAGGCCTATTTTGGAGGGATGCATAAAAATATGCACAGAATTTATTAATGGCACATGCACTCATTTCCAAAAATAAAAGCAGATATGTGCACACTGAAAATATCTAGAAAGTACTTAATACTGACAGACTTTTCACACTACTCAAGCAGATGGAGAAAAAAAGCAGTGTTACAAATCTGTTTTTCCTCAAAGGTATGTTTTCAATTAGATTAAGGTTGGAAATAATATTTTCAAGATAAAAACAAACAAACATACATACCTCCAGGTATTGGTAAAATACTGAAAACAGTGGCCAAGTCCTCCCAAGCAGAAGAGCTAACATAGATTTAGCAGTATCAATATCAAGGCTTCTCTGATCTTTATCCTAAAATGTAGATCAAAAAACTTTCCTAAGTATGGACTCAAGATGAAAGAATATTAAAATTACTAAACATGGAAATTGCACCTACCCTTGCAAAATCAAAGGCATATCTGTAGATATTCTTAAACGATGAAATGTCATTCAACTGTGAGCGCAAAAAGTCAAATTTGTTCTGCAACTTTTCTGTGCAGTCACACCTTAAATAAAAATCAAACAAATTACATAATCAAGAAAATTAAAGATATCTTTAGGGGTTAAAAGGAATGTGCTGAGGAAAAAAATGGGAGCATTTACCAAGTTAATTTAGGTTTAAAATTCTGTTGCATTGTACCTACTAATTTAAAAAAAAAAAAAAAAACTCAACCAACTCAACAAACCAACCAACTAAAAGACTCCAATAAAATCACAAATTATCTTTAAAAACACATGTATACAAATGTGCTCTTACCACATACAAAACTAATAGCAAAGCAAATGAAATTAATCAAGCTTCTGTCACATATTTCTTTGAAAGTTCTTTAGGCAACAGCTTAGTGAAAAAGATTTGCCATGAGTGGTTTTAAAAGTTTAAGATTTAACACAGGAAATTAATACACCGTATTAGCAGTTGAGTCATAAATCCAGATACCACATTTTTTAGTGAACAAAAGTCAAAGTAAATCAGTGGAAGCACCTAACTCCAAATAAGGTACATATGCAAAGGAATGCAAACAACAATAAATTATACACATTACTTCTAAAGATAAGACATTAAATACAAGCAGCTAAATGGAATACTCAAAAATCTTTACTAGCTCTCTGATTCTCACTGGGATGATAAATCCCACTCTTTAGGAGAAGCAAGGCAGATAAAGCCTTTCATAATGTGGCACAAATTGTGTATATACAAAAACCCAAGGAATACACAAAACAAACTTCGTAAAACTAAATGAGTTCAGCAAGGTCACATAATACAAGATAAACGTACAAATATCAATTATATTTCTATATACTAGCTTGAACATGTGGATGCTGAAAGTACAAATACAATGCTGTTTACAGTGGCTTAAAATAAAAATGAAGTAACCCATTGCTTTCAAGTCAATTCTAACTCATAATGATGCTACAGGACAGAGTAGAACTGTCCCATAGGGTTTCCAAGGCTGCAATTTTTACGGAAGCAGATTGCCGCATCTTTCTCCCGTGGAACTGCCGCTGGTGGGTTCAAACCGCCGACCTTTCTGTTTAGCAGCCAAGTGCTTAACCACCGCACCACCAGGGCTCTTTTAAAAAAAAAAGGAAAGAAAGAAATACTCAGATGTAATTCTAACAAAACATCTACAGGACTTGTATGCTGATAACTATACAAAGGTGATGAAAGACATCAAAGAAAATCTAAATAAATGGAGATACATATCATAGATTGGAAGACTCAAAAAAGTAAAGACGTTAATTCTTTCCAAAATTCATGTGCAGTTTAACCAAAATCTTAGCAAGCTTTTTTTCTGTTTCTTTGTAGATACAGACAAGATATTCTCTAAAATTTATATGGAAAAGTAAAGGAACTAGATTAAAACAATCTTGTAAAAAAAGCAGCAGTCTATCTGATTTCAAGACACATTACACAGCTATAGTAATCCAGACTGTGTGATACTGGTGGAAGGTTAAGACAGATAGTTCAATGGAATAGAGAACCTTGAAACAGATCCACATAAATATGCCTAAATGATTTGTGAAAAAGGTACAAAAGCAATTCAGTGGAAGAAAAGAGAGCCTTTTCAATAAATTGTGCTGGAGCAAGTAGACATTCATAAGCAAAGACATGAACCTCGACCTACGCCTCACGCCTTATACAGAAATTAACTTGAAATGTATCACTGACTAAAACATAAAATGTAAAAATATAAAACTAGCAAAAAACAAGACAAACTCTTTGGGATCTAGGGCTAGGTTAAAAATTCTTAGACTTGACACCAAAAGGAAAAACTGATAAATTGGACTTCATAAAACTTAAAAATGTTTGCTTTGCAAAAGACTTAAGAGGATGAAAAGATAAGTCACTAAGTAGAAGAAAATATTTGCAAACCACATTTTCGATAAAAGACTCATACCTAGAATAGAGAACTCTCAAAACTCAACAATAATAATAATAAAAAAGCAATCCAAGGAGAGATATTCCACCGAAGATGGTATACAAATGGCAAATAAGCACATGAAAATATGTTCAACATTATTAACTGTTAGGAAAAGGCAAATTTACACCACAGGGATATACTACTATACAACTACTAGAATGGCTGAAATAAATAATAGTGACAACATCAAACACAGGCAAGAATGCAGATAAACTTGATCACTCATACAGTGCTGGAGGGAATGTAAAATGGTACAGCCACTCTGGAAAACAGGTTAGCAGTTTAAAAAAAAAACTAAACACACCCTGTAACTGCATCCCTGAGCATTTAACCCAGAGAATCAAAAGTTATGTTCACACAAAAAACCTGTATGCAAATGTCTATAGCAGCTTTATTTGTAATAGCCAAAAACTGGGAACAACCCAGGTGTCCCTCAACAAGTGAACAGTTATACGAGCTGTAGCACGTACACCCATACCATGGAATACTACTCAGCAGTAAAAAGGAACAAACTATTGGTAAATGCAAAAACCTAGATGTCACAGAACTATGCTCAATGACATAACATTCTTGAAATGACAAAATTATAGAAATGAAGAAGAGATGAGTGCTTGCCAGGGATCAAGGAGCGGGTGAGTGTGGCTATAAAAGGACAATGTCAGAGCTCCTGTGGTGATGGAAATACGCTGTATCTTGACTGTATCAATCTTAACATCCTTGTTGTGATACTGTACTACAGTTTTGAAAGATGTTATCATTGGCAGAAACTGGGAAAAGGGTACATGAGATCTATTTCTTAAAACTGTATGTGTATCTATAATTATTTCCAAAAAAATTTTAATTTTTAAAAAAGGAAGTAACAGTATATTTGTATGCTAACAAGCATGATCTGAAAAATACAAAAATTCAATAATGCGGGAAAGAAGGTGGACTACTGCTGAAGCAACATCCCTGAGTAGGTGAGAGAGGATACGATCTTCTACACAGAGGTTAGTCTTAGAAGCATGTACATAGTGAACACACAGAAAAGAAAAGCAGATGGGTACAAATACAGTAGATCAAAATAACCGATGGTAACAACATGTGGAAATTCTCTTGATTGCTTCTATTTTCTCAGTGAAGTATAAGTCATTAACCAAAAGTATGTGGAAGGTGTTGAAAGTTGAAGGAACAACTGTGAAATAGTTCTCTAGGAATTCCAAGGAAACAGACAATGTATTTCTGAATGGAAAAGTTCAGTCTATCTACTAAGACTGTGATTATTGACAGGAATAGTATTTAGATTATTTTCTGTATTTTGTTTTTTCTAGTCAGCTCATCTCTGTTGTTTACAGTCTCCTTTTTTGACTTCTGGGCTTTTTTCCTAATTCCACTCCACTAAAATGGGATATAGATCCTAGATTCTGTATTTATCTTTTCAGTGGTTCCCTAAATATTCCACCTTAAAGTCTAAAGCAAATATATTTACTCTCCACCCAAACTATACTGTTTAATGCTTTTACCTTAAACATTCTCTTCCCAACTTACATGTTATTGCCGATCAATTAGTTTTTTCAATTCCCTTAAACTACTCATTATTGTTCTTCTTGAAATATATCCTATAGAAACTCCTTAGTGAGATGACAGTAAACTTTGGTTTTCATTCTATATCAGAATATCTTAAATTCCCTCCTTATTCTTGACTCATTCTCTAGATATACAATTCTAAATTAACTGTTTTCTCTCAGAACTTTGAAGACATTATTGTTCTTTGGCTTTTACTGTCTGTGTGGAAAAGTCACATGTTTACTTAATATTTCTGTATTATTTCTTCATTCTCTAGTTATTATCACAATTTTCTTTTGGACTTTAGTTTTCTGCTATCACTCTGCCTAAGTTTAAAATTTCCTCTTATTTACCATGCTTGGGATTTGAGTCTGAGAATTAGTAGATCTCAACCATTCTGGAGATTTCTCAGCTATTTTCTCTTCCAATATTCCCTCTTTACTATTCTCTTCTGAAAGTTCAGTTAAGATGTTTATAGAACTGTTTCAACTTAACCTCCCAGGTCTTTCAGTCCTATTTTTCTTTTGTTTCTCTGCACTAATCTTCTCAGATACTGTAGGTCACTGATTCCTACTTCAACTACATCTATCTCCTTTCTAATTCAACCAGAGTTTTTTTAATGTTACATTTTTTACTTCTAGAAATTTAACTGTTACTTTAAATCTGATAATCTGAGTCTATTCCCTTTTCTTTGAACATATCAAATCAAATATATATATTAAGATTATGATACTTAAAGATTTATTTGCCAGTAAGTTCAGTGACTTTTTTTTGACTGTGTACTGTTGATCACTAAACCTTTTTCTGAAGAAGCTAAGCTTCTGTTTAAAGTGCATGCCTCTACAGAGAAACTGCTGTCACTACACACACGGGAGCCCTATTTATTTGAGACAACTCTAAAGTACATTTTGATGTGGGCCACACAACAGTGAATTCTAGCCCTAAATTTGCATGATAGAGAGCTTGTGATTAGGAGTTCTCCCAGATAGGAGCCTTACTTCCAGTCATATGCAGAACCAAGCCCAGGCAACCACATCTCCACCTACTGGGCAGGTTTGGCATCAATGATTTTATGTGGGGGTTTTCTAATCTGATTCCCACCCTTCTTAGGCCTCATGATTTTGATTTGTCTCCTCTCCCAAACATGCATGGCAGGTTAAAAACAAGACCCTGAGTGATTAGGTAAATGTCCTCAGGGTAAATGCCAGTTCTATAGAATCCTACAGAATCATCTCACCATTTCTGGTCTCTCATTATTTTCCTTAATTTATAATCAACTCAGATACATTTTTAAAAAGATGTTTTTATATTTTATTCAACATTTAAGTTTTACAGAAAAAGTGGTTTACATGCATGTTTAGTCTGCCATACTGCCAGAAACAGAAATTAAAATTTGGAAAAGTGAACTACTTTATTTGGCAGTGGCCTTAGCGCTCCTTATATGAATATGTGCATAGTATGCTTCATGCACAAACAAGAAAATATATTCTTAATGTTAATTATTACCTACTGTATCAGTTAAGTGGCTTTAATTACCA